AATTTTGAAAAAAATATTTTTCATTTTATATTTACTTCTCCCTTTTTGTTGTATAAAAAATAATTCACAATGTTAGGAATATATAAAAAGGGGATAAAGTAATATCAAAATAATGCTAGAATCAAGAATAAGCATAATAAAACAAGAATCATGGCACTTTAATATAAGGGATAAACAAAATCTCCCCCAACATTTTCACAAATGGTTACTTTGCATCTATCCTTTTTTTTGGGAGCATTTTAGCCCCCAACGTTTGATTTTGGAGCAAAATATCCCTTGATTGGTTGAAAATTGTTGATTAACTATCAATGCTTCATAAAGACTTGACAAGTTCATGTGTGATGACACTTCAGCAAAAAATTATTTTTAGAGTAAACTATAATTATAATTAATTACATAAAAACTTATAAAAATACATTTAAAATATTTTTTTGATGATATGACATCACACATGGACCTGCCACATCTTTAGGAAGCATTGACTGTTAGTCAACTAATGATTTCCATCCATACATGGACATTTTTCTCCAAAATAAAATGTTGGAGGCTAATGGGGACAAAGTGGCCATTTGTACAAATGTTGGGGGTAATTTTGTTATTGTACCTTAAATAGATAAAATTTATACAAAATGTAAAGTACCAAAGTCATAATATCCAAATAAAAGTTCCAAGTATCAAATATCAAATAAAAATATAACATCAAAGGTCCAAATGTAAATAAATGTAGAAAATTCTATCATATAAAAATGATATGATATACATGTACTAAGATGGTGAAGAATAAGGGAAAGAGAACTCGTCGAGCTGATGTTGAATCACTCGAGTATCCACACTAGGAGCATGTAACACCCCTAACCCGTATCCGACCTGAATATGAGTCCGGGGTGTCACATTGACTTTTCAAACTTTGCCACATAAAGAAAAAAAAGGAAATTTTAAACTTTCATTAAAACAAAATGCATTAATTTACATAAAAGATATCACAAAATACAAAATCGACCAGAGCATTCGTAATTAACAACTTATTACATGCCAACGCTCTATACACAACCCAAAATATCTACTTTGTCAATTACTTCTGATATGATCTTTTAGTAGTGATGATATTCTTGCCACTTCTAGTACTACTCTTTTTGTTTCCTGGTACCTACGTGTGAATCACTTACACACTAAGTCATAGACTTAGTGAGGCAATAAATAAACATGTAGCTATAGATTCATGAATATGCATTCTTATCATTTGATCATAACATTTCAATATGCATGTATATATTTCACTATAACCGATATAATCATGTCATGTAAATATGAAACTTATTTTCTTGTATCACTTTCACCTTACTTTATCTTTCAATTGCCCATGTACATTATTGAGAACAGAGGTATTTGAGTACATTGAGGTTGTGCACTAATGTTGTCACCACAGCTCAATAAATTCCCTCATGGGGCACCAAACATTTGTTCAGTATTTGTCCCGAAAGACCACTATGTCCCGAAAAACCACTAGATACGTCCCAAAGGACTACTGGATACGTCCCGAAGGACCACTGGATACGTCCCAAAGGACCACTGGATAAGTCCTGAAGGATCACTGGATACGTCCCGAAGGACCACTGGATACGTCCTGAAGGATCACTGGATACGTCCCGAAGGACCACTGGATACGTCCCGAAGGACTAATATACCCTCGACTCTTGGCATACCAACTATACCTATAGCTCTCGTATCATATAACATGGGCTTTAATATGAATACATTTCTCATTTCATATCTCTTTCATCACTTTTCATATAAACCCATAATCTTTTCCATTATTTCACATACCTGGATTATATTCTCTGGCAATGATATTCGTTCATTCAATGTCATATGAACATATAATGAATTATGCATCCAATCACTATTACAATAGTATCTGTATGCATATACATGGGTATGTAATCATTAATTTAACTATCATAGATAGACTTATCACAAGTCTTATCTCTATACAGTTTAACTATAAAATGCACTCACCTTAGCCTTGCTTTGATTCGATTCTAATACTTCGATTGTTCTGGAATAAGATTACACTCTAAATCTACATAGTAATACATTGATACTTATCAACATACGAATTGATATATTTCAAACTATTAATCCTTAGGCTAAACGAAAGCTATTTCCATCTCTTATTGAAGGTATGCATCGATGTACTACACCATGTATTGATGCATCCCTTGACGGGTGCATCGATGCACTACCCATGCATCGGTGCATAAATCCTATTCGATGTTTGTATTTTAAGCAGGTGCATTGATGCACTCCTTATGCATCGATGCATTAATGGAATTCGATGTTCATTTAATTTAAATGAGTGCATCGATACACTCTATGTGCATTGATGCACCTTCAACAAATTCTGGGATTTTCTCTTGATGCATCGGTACACTTTGAATGTGCACTGATGCACTCTGCCAGAATTCATTTCTTGAACCCGAATACTTATCCACTTCAGCTTAAATCTTTCATGTTTCATCCCCTTTTATATTCTTAACTCCAGTACACATACTTAAACCAATCTATACTCATTTATTTTATCTTAAACCTCAGAATCCTATCCTCCTTGTGAAATCCAAGAATTATACCAACTTTGCAACATGATTTAATTCCACTTCTAACCCTTAATATGTTTTAACTAGATTTATGACAAGTCAAATTTAACTTCCAATTCTATATATGAACTTTATTCCAAAATTTCATTCAAGAACCTCTAATCTTTAATCTCTTCTAACTCTATCATCCTTTGATTTTAAGATAACCTAAGCTTTCCTTAAGCTTAGTTATCATCTAATAATCAAAACACAATCTTAAATTTAACAAGAAACTCAATAATTAGAAAACTCACCTTTGTTTTGCTTTACACGTACAAGGAAGAAAGAATAAGAAAAGAACTTTGGAAGCCTTTATGTTCTCCACTCTTCAACCCACGTGGATACATATATAACCCTTCTTTTCTTATTCCCTTAGAAATGACCTATTTACCCTTCTATTCATTCTTCCTTTCAATTCAAATCCATACTATAATTTACAAATAAATCTTTATACTATTCAATCATTATATTTTAATCACCAGATTATGAGACTTTACAATTTAGTCACTAACCTGATATTGAGGATGTTACAGAGCATCTTGACGAGGCTCAGTCACATCAAGACAAGAGTTAACATGAGGCCAAAGAGATATGAGAGTTGGCATCACTAAATCATGAAAAGCAAGAAGAGAAAACTCGGGTGGTGTCTGGTCGATATGTGCCACTCTCTCAGGCTCCTTTTTATCATGCTCATCATAATCATCATCCATGGGATAATCATCTCCATGATCATCAGTACGCCGAACCCAATATATGGATCCTCGATGTAGCCAATCTTCACTATTGTAGCGCGTCTAATGGTATTTTAATTAGAAGTAAACGTTTCGGGGTTATAAGAGATGTTGACATCAAGCAGCTCAAATAAGTGAATAAGATGTATCTCATTCATTAGATTCAGTTGAGCCTTTGATTTGATCACGCTCACAATATCATTAAAAATCATACTCGTAGATATAATTTGTGACCTTGTTGGATGCAACGTATCAACCAATAGTTAGTTTCATGAATCATCAAGAATTTTGTGCTTTTAATTTGTGATATTCCTTTGATTTGAATATGTTATCAGCGCGATTGATTTTTGACACATGTGTCATGATAGGCTGGCTCTTGGTCTCAATGAAGTGTCCTTAAATTATAACATGATATTTGTAGTAAGACTTTTCCTTGTACCTCATTGGATGTGGAGGAGGCAATGGTTTGACATGTTTTGACACAATCATTCATTCTTTAAGAAACTTAAAATATACATCGTTGTATGAGAAAGGAATAAGATCAAACCATGGACCTTTGGATTATAACTTTCCCTAGTTTTTATAAGTATCATTGTGAGAGTCTAACAAAATGTCATCATGTTATAAATGAAACTTTGATGATTGATTTTTAGTGTCAAGTCTTGATTGACATGTTGTAAAGGATAAAGGTATTGGTTTACAAGAGTCATGTCATATTTCTTTTCCACTTGTTCAGGTTCCTTAGTTGATGTTAAGCTTTTGAGTGTTGGAAGAATGATCGTGCTGCAGGCTAATGTGCGTAACATACAGTATGGTGTGCATGGAGAAGATTTAAGAAGCTTGAAGTTAAGCCCATTGTTGATGATGTATGGTGTTTTGCAGGCAATCAGAGCCATAGACAGTTAGGATATTGTTACATGGATTCATTTGTCAAAGTTTGTTAAGAAGGTTGCTTCTTAGTGCAATAATCTAAATGCTATATAAGTCATGTACATCTGCACTGAAAATGCAATGGAATTCAGTAATTGTTTTTGAATTCATTCTTGTTTTTTAACATGGTATCTTTCGCTAAGGATCCTGGGGCTCCTATGCTTATTGATGCTTAATCTCTTAGTTCCTGCTGAGCATCATGTTTACCAATAAAAAGGTTAATGTGGTGCTAGAGGAGACGAACTACCTGCTGTGGAGGCAGCATGTCTTGCTTACGGTGCGCAGCCATCGTTTGGAGCGGCTCCTCAATGGCACAATGCATATTCCACCTGAGTTTATTGTCAATACTGAAGGTACGTCGGTTGTTAATGAGGCGTTTGAGGATTACATGGCATAGAATAGTGCTCTCGCCTCATGGCTTTTATCGACGATTAGTGCTACTCTCCTGCCACAGTTTATTGGAGCTGAAACTGTAGCAGTTGTGTGGAACACCATTGTTCAGTTCTTTGCTAACAAATCCACAACTACAGTGATGAACTTTCACTATAAGCTGCAATCACTGAGGAAGGGTGATGATTCCATGCGTGTGTACCTCACTCGAATCAGAGAAGTATGCGATGCTCTTGCATCATGTGGCAGCCCGGTTTCGTAGGAGGAGCATGTGGTTAGCATTCTCAAAGGCTTGCCAAGAGAATACCAATCGTTTATGGCTGTCATTACATCGAGCCTTGACACACTATCCCTTGATAGAGTATATTCTATGCTGGTTGATGAAGAGACACAATTAGTTGGCTTCGATTCGCAACCTGAGAATTTCCCTACAAGTACTAATGTTTCTCATGGACAAATTTATGGTAGATCTATTGGATCTGAAAATCTCATGAATTCAAGCAGGAATCATCAACAGTGCGTGGTGGTAGAGGTCGAGCACGGCTGCAATGTCAGTTATGTGGTAAGGTTGGCCATTCGGTTGATCGATGTTGGTATAGGTTTGACTGAGACTTTACTGGAATTCTTGCCACTAATACTCGAACGTAATTTAAGGATGATTCGAGCAGTGCTAACTATGTTAATCTTGATAGTGTTACTTGTACGTGTTGTGCTAATAAGTCAGGAACCAGTTCAGTGGCTACACAGGGTGCTGCATTTCCTTGTACAAATGTGACATCAGCTCGTGCTAAGTGGATCATGAACTCGGGCGCGATGCATAATGCCACTCTAGATGCTGCTCATATAAACTATTCCACTGATCTTGATGGACTAGGTAATCTCGTGGTTGGAAATGGTTCCTCTCTTAGTGTTCAATTAGTAGGTCAATCTATATTACGATCATCTTCTCAAACATTGCTACTTACTGATCTGTTGCATGTTCCTGAAATAACTAAACACCTTCTCTCCGTGTCAAAGCTTGCTAAGGATAATCACGTGTTCTTCGAGTTTCATGCTGATACCTGTTGTGTGCGAGATGAAGTAACATGCCATGTACTTCTTCAAGGAAGGTAGAAAGGGGGACTTTATTCATTTACCTTGGATAGTCAGCTGAGTGTTTGGATAATGCTAAAGCTTATGCAGTTCATAGTCGTTGTAACTCGTTTGAGCTTTGGCATAGGAGATTAGGTCATCCAACATTTTCAACTTTGAAATTGGTTTGTAATTCAATTACTGTTGATATTCCAAACAATGTGAATCAGTTGTGTGTTGCTTACTGTTTGGGTAAAACCCATAAGCTTCCATTTGTTGACTGAACCATGGTGTATGATGAACCATTTCAACTTGTTTTCACAGATCTTTGGGGACCCTCGCCTGAGCCCTCAGCTGGGTTTCGGTATTACATATCTTTTGTAGATGCCTGTACTAGGCATACGTGAGTATATTTGTTGAATAATAAGTTACAGGCTATAGTTGCTTTCAGATTGTTCAAACACATGGTTGAGACTCAATTCTCACTACCAATCAAAGCTATACAAAGTGATTGGGGTGGTGAATATAGAAACTGGAAAGAAGAGTTAGCTCATGCAGGAGTTTTGCATAGAGTCACTTGTCCTCACTTGTCTGAGCAAAACGGAGTTGTTGAGCGTAAGCATAGACACCTAATAGAGTTGGCACTCGTGTTGGTGACACAGACATCTCTTCCAATCAAATTATGGTCATATGCAGTAACCACAACAGCGTACTTGATAAATCGACTGCCAACTAAGGTGTTGAATAATATCTCTCCCTTTGAGAAATTAATTAAATAGAAACCCGATTACACAATCATGCGAGTTTTTAGTTGTAGATGTTTTCCTCATCTGCGAGAATTTCAACCCCATAAACGGATGCCTCGATCCTAAGAGTGTACATTTCTGGGCTATAGCTCCCAATATCGAGGCTTTCAATATCTTGGAGCCAAGGGTCGTATCTTTATTAGTAGACATGTTAAATTTGATGAACTTGTGTTTCTATTTGCAGCTGTTAAACAAGATAGTTCTCATCACGTGGTATCATCTCCACGAACAACATCGTTAGAGGGTATTCCTCGAAGACATAATGTATATCCTACTACAGTGGAACCAATTTTGGAACATTCTGGAGCATCTTCTCAAGCAAGCCATGCTGAGAATGAAGTGAGTCATAATGATGAACTGGATCATTTTCTTGAATTTTTAGATCACTCGACTGAAAATTCACTCATGACTAGTCCTCCTTTGGTTAGTGCTGAAGGAGTAAATGAGTCTGTTCAAAATTCAGTCGAGGATGCGAGTGTTCCTGATCAGGTACCACTAACTAACACTCACCCTATGGTTACTAGAAGCAAGCATGGCATTTTCAAGCCTAAGGTGCTCCTTGCTATGGAAGATACTGTTATACCTACAGATATTCATCAGGATATGAAGTCAAGTAAATGGACCTCTGCTGTGCATAATGAACTTGCTGCTTTACAACGAAATGGAACTTGGACATTGGTTCCGTTACCAATTGGACGAACAACAGTTGGTTGTAAATGGCTATTTAAACAGAAAAAAAATCCCGATGGCTCGATTCAACGTTACAAAGCCAGGTTAGCAGCAAAAGGTTTTCTGCAAGTACCAGGGTAGGACTTTAAGGAAACTTTTAGTCACGTGGTTAAATTTCTAACCCTAAATGTTATTCTATCCATAGATATAACAAACAAGTGGCCACTACGACATGTAGATGTTAACAACGCCTTTCTCCATGGTGATTGGAATGAGGAAGTCTTTATGCAACAGCCGCCTGGATTTGAGCAGTTGGCTGAGGATGAAACTAAGCTTGTATGTAAGCTTCATAAGGCTTTGTATGGGCTGCGTCAAGCACCCAGGAACTGGAATAACAAACTGAAAGATAGCCTGCTACAGATGGGATTTCAAATGTCAAGGGAATATGCATCTTTGTTCATTTCACTTGCTCAAGGGGAAGTTACCTATATACTTGTCTATGTCGATGATATTGTGATCACTGGTCAATCAGTTACTGCAATTGAACGAGTGGTTCAGTCACTCAAACTGAATTTCTAATTGAATGATCTTGGTGAGTTAAATTATTTTTTAGGGATTGAAGTCCAACACATTACTAGTGGCCTTATGTTATCTCAAAAGAAGTTTATTTCTGATTTACTATAGAAGAAAAGTATGACAAGGGAAACCCCTACCAGTACACCTATGGTCATATCCAATAAACTTCAAAGAGATGCTGGAAAACCGATTGAAGATGCTCGAGAGTTTCGAAGTATGGTTGGTGCATTGCTCTATACATGTCACACAAGACCAGACATAGTGTATAGCATAAGCAGGGTTGCTCAATTTATGCATGAACCATGTGAGAGTCATCTGAAGGATGCCAAACGTATTCTAAGATACCTAGCTGGCACAATTGAGTATGGCCTGCTCTTCAAGCCATCAAAGGAAGCTCTAAGAATTGTTGCATTCGCGGATGCTGATTGGGGAGGTTGTGTAGATGATCGAAGGTCGATGCCAGGTCATTGTGTTTTGCTTGGTGGTAACTTGGTTTCATGGAGCACAAAGAAATATAAAGTTGTCTCCAGATCCACAATGGAAGCTGAATATCACAGTCTTGCATATGCAGTTGCAGAGGTTACTTGGATATATGCATTGTTGAATGATATTGGAGTAACACAGGAAAAAAAACCAATCATTTGGTGTGATAACATGAGTTCCATATCGCTTAGTGCAAATCCTGTCCAATATGCACAATCTAAACATGTTGATTTATATGTGCATTTTGTCAGGAAAAAAAGTGCAGGAAACAAATTATATGTTAGCTATGTTCCTGTTGCACATCAACTTGCAGATGGGTTCACAAAGCCTTTGTCAAAAATAACTTTTACAGCGTTTCAAGAGCAAGTGAATGTTTGTCTTAAAAAGGGAGAAGAAGAAGAAGAAGCAGGAGGAATGTTTGAAGAATGATCGTGCTGCAGGCTAATGTGCGTAACATACTGCATGGTGTGCATGAAGAAGATTCAAGAAGCTTGAAGTTAAGCCCATTGTTGATGATGTATAGTGTGTTGCAGGCAATCATAGCCATAGGCAGTTATGATATTGTTACACGGATTCATTTGTCAAAGTTTGTTAAGAAGGTTGCTTCTTAGTGCAGCAACCTAAATGCTATATAAGTCATGTACATCTGCACTGAAAATGCAATGGAATTCAGTAATTGTTTTTGAATTCATTCTTGTTTTTTTAACATTGAGGAATATTAGTTTCCCATTGTCAAAGCATAATAATCCTTCTCAGATAAGATTTTGAACCTTTTGCCTTATGATCCAACAATTATCTATAGTGTGACTAAAATCTTTAGAAGGATATCCACATGAATTTTTGTACCATGTCAATCTAGTTGTAAATAATTCTTAGACCTTGGCAAGATTGGTGTCAGAATGTGATTCTAGAAGAATTGAGGTAATAAATACGACTACAACCCTTAATTTAGAACAACTTGTATATTTTTCTGCTTCATCTTTACTCTCATACTTGAGATGTTAACTTCTTTCTTTCCTCTTTTCGTTGAGTGAGTTACCTCACCTTCAACTATTCTAGCAGCATTCTATAGGATTGTCGTTGACTTTTTACTTTGGATGTTTTACTATTTAATGGTTTCTTGGACATTTGACAATGCCTCATTGACTACTAAGTTGGGATTTCGACTATATATAAATCTTTTTTGTCAACTTGCATAACAAACTCTTTTATCGGATTCTTTTCCTTAATCAGTGTAGTCGTCATACTCATTACTTTGGAGATTTGCCCCCATTGATTCATCTTAGACCCTCTTTAATTTATCACTCATCCCTCTTTGAGTTCTAGCCAGATATTCTTAAAGTCTCTCTATTTTATTGATCCATTATTATCTCTCATTCATAGGATCCATCTTTCTTGGGTTCGATTTCTAGATATTAAAATAAAATATTTCACGAGTCATTCATAGTGTTTTCATGATAAATGCATGCAAAAGGATTAATATGATACATAATTAAAATACAAGATGCAAAGGTGGCTAAGGTATTGATTCCAAACTAATTGTTGTAAAACAACTTTTAAAGAACTCATAATGTCTCAATACATCGAGATAGATAGAAACTACATATAAACCATAGCCCTATCATTTAATATCCCAATTACAACGAGTAGTCAAATGATACGTCTTTCTTCCTTCGAATCTAGTTTAATATACATCTATTGGAATATGCATTCTAGAATATCTAGTGCATTCGAGAACATGCACTGCTAATGTGTGTATTGAGTGTGGTATGAGTTGGTGTGAGTTGTTTTGATTGTTTGGATTCTGTTATGAATGTTGTTATAGGAAGTTAAGTGATTGAGTAAGCTTGAAGTCATAGCTGCTATATAAGCTGGTTATGATGTAGTTGCATGAGAAGCATAATAATATATCAGATTTTAGTCATTGATGGTCCCTTTCTCACATGGTATCATTCGCCAAAGATCCTGACATCTTTGTTTTTCTTCATCCGCTGCTGTTATTTTCATTTTTTTGTAGATCTAAATCAGTTCAACTATTGTTTCTTCTTCCATTGGATTGTCGATTTCCTTTGCTGCCTGCACCAATTTTCTGCAACCCTCTTATTTTCCTCTCTGATGCGTCTTACTAAAGAACCTCATGAGTTTGTGAAGTTATTGTAACAAGCCAAATGTGAAGCTGCTGCTGTATTTGGAAATGCTGGAATTTATTTGGAGAAGTACATTAAGAATCTAAGGCATATTGAGTTCCAGGTTCTCGCAGATAAATATGGTAATGTTGTTCAGTTGGGTGAGCGTGATTACAACATCCAGAGACGGAATCAAAAACTTCTAGAAGAGGCGCATTCTCCAGCATTGACACCAGAGTAACGGAAGGCCATAGGTGATGCAGTAGTTGCTACTGCAGCTTCTATTGGTTACATTGGTGTAGGAAGTATTGAGTTTCTTTTAGATGAAAGAGGTTCCTTCTACTTCATGGAAATGCCAACCGATCATGGTGTCCGCTCTCAATCAAAGGATTCATTCTCCATACCCTTCAGAAAGATGGATTACATTCCCTTGTCCACTTATCTCAAGACTTACAAGATCGGCGACTACGTCGACGTCAAGGGAAACAACGCCGTTCATAAGGGTATGCCCCATAAGTTTTAGCACGACAGCACTGGTCGGGTTTGGAATGTCACGAAATGTATCATCGGTGTTGAAGTCAACAAGCAGGTGGGAAATAGGAGTATCATGATGAGGATTCATGTGCGTGTCGAGCACGTTCAGCCTTCTAGGTGCACCGATGATTCAAATCAAACGGAAGGAAGCATCGGCACTTCTGATTCAAATCGAACGGAATGAAGCATCAATACTTCCAATTCTAGTCGAATGAAAGGAAGCATCAACACTTCCGATTCAAGTCGAACGGAAGAAAGCATCGGCACTTCCGATCCAAGTGTTCGTTTTCTCATTTGCTCAAGAAGAATGAAAAGAGTAGGGAGAATATTGGAATATGTATTCTAGAATATGCAGTGCATTCTATAACATGCACTGCTAATGTGTGCATTGAGTGTGGTGTGAGTTGTTATGATTGTTTTGGATTCTGTTATGAATGTTGTTATAAGAAGTTAAGAGATTGAGTAAGATTGAAGTCATAGCTGCTATATAAGCTGGTTATGATGTAGTTGCATGAGAAGCATAATAATATATCATATTTTAGTCATTGATGGCCCCTTTCTCACAACATGTTTAAGGCTTTAGCTTATATACCAAGGATATGCACTTGTCGAGCCATCATATTACCCTAAACGATGACATCATTCATTGTTTCATGTTGACTTCGAATCAATTCCGCAACTTGTTGAAGTCACCTTTCAAAGTACGATCAGTTATCTTTAAAGTTACTTCGAGTCACTCCTTGCAATCATGAAGGTTGGCCTCCAATTTAGTCACCTTTACTTTTAATGCCTCATTCTCATTTTGAACTACCTTCAGCTCTTCTTGGTGAACCCAGTTTCTCTCCATTTCAACTATCATCTCTTTCAACATCTAATTCTCTTGTCTAACAGTTATAACATCCTCGAAGGCTTGCTCTAAGCGTATGATATGAGACTCTAACTATTTAATCTATAATTTTCTTTATCTTAACTATTGCTTACTTTCATTGTATCAATCTGCCATTTTTCGAAGTTAAATTCCCACTAGTCGCTTTTCATCTTCAAGTTGCTTCTTTGATTACCTCTTGGATTTTTCTTTCCATTTCTCGAGTACTTCTTCTACCTTTCTCTTCCTTTAACTGAGTTATCCAGTTATCTCTTTTTGCTTGATTATTTCTAGCCATAAGATGAACATTTCATCATCAAATCTGGCTTGCTTGGTTTTTGTTTCACACTTTGTTTCTCCAATTCTTCTCTCAATATTGACTTCTGATGGAACTTCATTCAAGCTCTCTTCCATGGTTAGATTGTATCATTTGTTATGCTTTCAAACATTTTTATTCCCCCGCTTATCTCTTCACACTTTATAATTCAGAGTAACTAAAGATTAGATCTCCGATATTTTTAATCTTCTTGGTCATTTCCAAGCATTTAATATATCTAAAATTTGGTCTCTATAACACATTTCTACAAAAGTAAAATATGAACCATTCAAATCATGTGTTACTATAATAAACTGTTTTATACTAAACTATCGTACAACCAAAAGTGAAGCATATTCTATTTCACCCCAAAGACCATGTAACATCACCCAATCCAATTTCATGTTTGTATAAAACACCATTTTGAGGTAGCCAATTAACCTTCCAGACGATGTTGGTAGATTTATGATTTCTTAAGACAACGCCTCGAACCTTCCTTGAATAGTGTTTGAGACTCTTCATTTTGATGTGAAAATATTCTTAAAAAAGAGTAATCGAGTGTTAATCTTTGCATACAAGGCCCTTTTACCTTTCAGAAGTGAATTTGGATCCATACCTTAAGTAAAGGTGTGCATCCTAAACACCGAATCCTATCAAATTTTCAACAGTAACTCAAGGA